TGGTTTTGGTTTAAAGAAGTGAAATTAAGAGTATTTTATTTGTTTAAACCTTTAGATTTATTTAAACTTTTAAAACACTAGAATATACCAAGAGCCTGTGCTGAGTTTTGACCTTTGAGCTCCAGATACTTCTGAAAGAGTTCTAACACATTACATAAGGCTAGGCACGAAGAGATTGCCCCTTCAACCCCATCCCCAGATGAGCAAGATCATCCCCAGAGGCCCTCCAGGTTACAATTTGACTAGGAACAAGGAACAGCCATACCCTCTTATGCAGCTGAGTCTGTATACAGTAGGTGCTCAATAAATCAAAGATTAATGGATAAATGGATGGGTAGAAGGAATGAGAAAAAGTAAAGATTAGGGATATGCTTGGGCGCCGGTATATTGCACATTGGTATACAACATTCATACAGTTCCAACAGGGTCATGGGTCCAGCCTTCATGAATTTGTTTAATGCTTGGCAAACTCTGATACTTCATGGGGGGAACTCAGGCAACAGTATGCCTGTACTCTGGGCTAGTATTTTTGTCCTAAGGCTTCCTTGTCCTTCCTGCTGCAGATGAGCCCTTGGATTCTGGAAATCTAGCGCAGTGGAGAGAGTACAGGGTTTGGAGTAGGAAACTGTCAATGAACACTTCAAATTCCAGCCCAACCCTTAGTGGTTCTATAACCTCTGAGCTAGTCACCTCGTCTCCTTGAACTTTGTTTTCATCAGAGCCTCACTTAAAATGCAAAAACACATATTTCCTCAACTTTAGAATTTGGTAAGTCTAGAGTACCCTAGTCTGGTGGGTCACAATCTCGGGTGGTTTTTCTCTCTGGGGATATTGGGCAATGTCCAATAGGGAGACATTTTGGTCATCAAACTGGCAGTAAGAGGGGTGTGTGTGTGTGCCACTGGCCTCTAGTGGGTACAGGACAGGGATGTGGCTCAAACAATGCAAACACTGCCCCTCCTCCACCAAAAGAATTAATTATCTGGTCCAAAAGGTCAATAGTGCTGAGGCTAAGAATCCCGATGACCCTTTGACCCTATTCACTCCTTTGCAGATATGTGTGTATGTGTGTGTGCGTCCAGTGAAGGGCAGGGTGGGGGGGTTTAGGGGAGGAACTCAGGGGTAAAGGACAAGAAGGTACTAGGAGAGGACCATTTTCTGTAGCATTCCTATATGGAACCTCCTCCTTTACCTGTCAACTCTTCTAGGCCCAGCTTAAGTCCTGTATCCTCTGTGACATTTTCTTGGGGCACCCAAAGACCCACTTCTCCCTCCTCTGGTCTCTCAAGGTTTGGCTGCTGATTCCCAGCTTACACTGTATCCATCCTAGGGGGCCCTGCCTTCACATTTCACACATACGCCCCGTATACATTAGGGGCTTGGCAATTAGGGTTCACACCTTCTCCCGAGACGGTTTACAAAATGGCGAAAGAAAGCCTGCGCTTGTGAAGCCTTGGCATATCTCTGGTGAAGCCTGTTTTGAAACTTCTTTGGAAAGTGGCTGCTAATGGACTGATAATTGGTTTCCTGGCTTCCTTATGAAGTGTGAAGCATTCCGCTAGCCTGTCAACAAGGCATCAAGTATCCGAGTACCGCCTGCCATCAGGGTTGTCTCTTCCTTCCTGTTGGAGCTCTTGTGGTGGAGGACTAGCCAGACACAGTAGTATGGGAAGGGCTCTCTCTTCTTTTGCAAGGAACAGGGTGAAATGGGCGGAGCTCTGGGAAAGGGAAGAAAATGCGCAGCCTGGCCAGAGCGTGCCCACCAGGACACCAGGTTGAACACGTTTCCCAGGCAGAGATTGAAGAGCTCTGAATCCAATACGTGGTGCTTGGACCCTCAGTAAATATTGTCGGATGGATGGCAAGTAGTACTACTTCCAACTGATTTTGAGCAGCGATCCCTGGAGATGTGAATTGACCAAGGAGGAAGACAGTGAGAGGGAAGAAGCTAGCTCCATCTTTCAAAATGCTTTTCACTGTGAGAGACACCATTTTCTTTAAAACCTAGATGAAAAAAGGCCATCTATCGAGCATTTACTACTGTGAGGGCAGCGCAAAAGCCAACAAAATGATTCTGAAGTCAGCTTGCTGCAGAACGTGTTTGGGAACACGAAGGAAAGTGTGTATTTGTGTAGTCTCGGCAGGGCAATTTCCAAGTAAAGAGCTGTTTTGAAGATGTTTCAAGAGAAGAACAATGCACCACTTTGCACTTCTTTGGACCATTGTTTGTAGAAATTTGAACCATTAAAATATTTTTTCCAATCCCCTTCTAAATCCTAAGAAGGAAAGAATAGTTTGTCTGCTAAATAGTGTACTAATATTCATTGTGACTAATGTGTGGGAAAATTTAGGGCGTTTATGCTGCCTCTTGCTAGAGGTGCTTTTGTATGCACATTTATCTCTATAAAATACAGACTGTATTCTTTTATATTTTTATGGATGCTTATAGACTTTGGCCCTTTCCATAGTGGGTGTGACCACCCACTATGATACATCTGATCTGGGGTCAGGGTCAGAACCCCAGTTTAACATATCCCTCAAGCAAAGTATATGACCTGCTCTGTCAATGACCCACTTTAAGTAGTTGTTCCCAAGCATTCGGTGTGGGGAGTGAGGACTGTTCATGCCATAGTTATCTTGTTCTATGAATACCATCATAGATGCTTAGGATTTGGGGAGAGAGAATGGAGTGCTACCCTACTGGATAGATCAGTAAACCAAAATCCGGCAAGAGGATGCCCCGGCTGTCATCATGATGCAGAACCAGGACCGAGAAACAAGTCTCCAGAGTTTGAATCCAAAGCTATCTCCGTGCACCAGGGCATCTGAGTACCATCTCTCACCCCCGGTTAGAGTGTGAACTCCCTGAGGGCAAAGCCTGGGACCCTTGGAAGTGTCAGCTTAGGGGCTGGCTACTCAGTAGGGAGCCGACAGATGGCGCTCCTTTGACTTCGTGGAATAGGAACATGACCTTGCTGTGTGGTGCAAAGGCATGGGACCAGCTGGCTCTCTCTGGCCTCCTTCACTGAAGCCAGCATCTCTGAGACTCAAGCTGTGTTCGGTTACACCAAGACGACCAGAAAAAAACCTGAGCAATGGGAGCGCCTTGGGGATGCCAGCCCCATACATCCCAGAATCATCCAAGAGATGCAGTGCTGTGCTGGCCCCCCAGAGTGCCTGCTTCACAGTTCTCATCACTAAGCGTCAGGCTCCTCTTCCTTATTTTATGCCACAGAGTGCACTGCTCCATACTTGCCAGAACAGCTCTGTCTTTGTTTCTTCTCAGCTGTTCGTAAGCAGTGCCCAGCTCACTGGAGGCTGCCAGCCTTGCTCCTGGAAAATGAAGAGCCTGCTGAGCAGCACTTCATGGCCCTCTGTTCTTATGGAAGGTTCTAGAAAGATTTCCTAAAACACTTTCTCAGGGTCAAAGGGTCAAGTAAATTCTTGGAGGACTCGAGTGACAGCCCTCAGGTAATATTCTGCTACCTGCATCTCTCAGCTTGTGATGCAGGAAACTTTATCTTGTCCTAAGAAGCCAGCTGGCTCGGCTACCCACTTCATTCCCACCAGCTCTCTGCCCCAGAGGCCTGACCCTCTTCCAGTTCTCCTTGCCTTGTTTTATCTAATGGATTTCCAAGATAAAGCCCCCACAACACCTGGGACTCCCAAAGTCTATACCTTTGTCTTCTGGGGCCTTGCCTCCAACTTACAGAGCAGAGCCCAGCTCCACTCACCACCTCGGGCCTTTGTTCTTGCTTGCCCTGGGCTGTTCTGTGCCAGTCTCCCCTGCCTCTCCTGGCCCCAGTCTCCTTGGTTCCCAGGGTACTAAGAGGCTAACACTGTTTTTTTCGATATTCTAACCACATCCGGCCGCAGAGATGGGCAGATTTTGTGCAATTTTATTTTTTTGCAACAAGGGTGTATATCTAAGAGCACTTTGATATATATCTAAGAGCAATTTGTTCTTTAAACCTCTGCAAGAATCTTTGCATAAACTCACAAGTCATCACAAATGCTTTGTCAAAACAAAGTGATTTTTTGGTTTGAAAAGGTATGACCCAACTCACCAACTCATACGCCAAAGTCTCAGTCCTCACTGATGTTCCCTGGTAACCCCCAGGCTATTCTCCCCCTCTGCCCTGGGGGGCCTCTCTAGTCTGTAGCACCTAGAGACCCCGAGAAGCCCACTGTGGTGGGAGAAATGATCAGAGGGTCAGGCTTCTGCCCTCCCCTGCGAGAAGCAGATGGAAAGAGATGGAGAAGGTGGGGTGGTGAAGGTTGGGGGAAGAAGAGGTGGTAGCCCAGAGAGGCTGGAACCTTTGACTTCTCAATAGAGACCAAGTGGGCTCCTCCCTTTGCTGCACACAGCCCCTCATACTTAAAGTACTATTTTCGCCGGAAAGTATGGTCATCCCATCCCAGAGGAAGGAAGAAGGGCTTCCTTGTTATTGCCATTCGATGGGCACTCCAAAGGATCAATAATCCAAAGACAGTTTGATCCCCCATCCCTCCCCAACTCCAATCCAAGAAGAAGCAATGTGAGGAAACTCCTCATACCCTGGCAAGACCATGATTTCCCACTGTACCCAGAGGCTGGTACAGAGTCTATGATCTTACAAACCGGCCCATCCCTTCCACCCTGGCTTGACTGTATGGTATCGCTGGTGACAACAAGGGCGAGGAGCAAACGTCTGGGTGAGAGCCTGATGGACCAGGCCCCAGTGGCCTCTACCTTGCTCTCAAGGATCACTGGGGAGGGCAAGATGGCGTTGAAGAAGGCCCCCAAACATCAAGAGCAATCATTCCCAGTGCCACAGTCCATGTTACTGCCAGAAACGAGGACACGACCAGCAACGTTGGGGGGAATAGAAGAAACCAACAAGGGGAGCTGTTGTTAGGACCTGTGAGGTTTCCAAGGAAGTGGCCCTGGATTAGCTAGCCAACGGGGCCCCCTGCCTCTTGGTGGAGACCCCGAAGAGACCTCCTCCCCGCTCACTTACACACGCAGCCTGGCTTCTTAGCCGACCACTGGTTATTCTTTTGGCACGTGATTGCCTTCTGCCCCACCAGCTCAAAGGCAGGCTGGCACTCAAACTTGAGTGTGTCACCATGATGGAACCGGGAGCCTTCCCTCCGGCCATAGGCAGGGATGCCGGGATCGCCACAGCTGCCCTGCTCGATCTCTGAAAGACAGGAAGAAGAGAAAACAGAGACAAAAGGTGACTTCCTACCTCTCTTGGAGCGGGAGGTCCACGTTACACGCTCTGCTGCCCCTCCGCCTCGACTCAGTGCCCAGAGTGACACAGGTAGGACCTTTCATGAGAAATCCTGCCATGTCCCTTCAAAACCCCATCCCAGGATCAAGAGGCCTTCCAGCCAATAATATGCCCGAGACTCTGGGTTCACACACAGCCCTTGAGGGGCTTGGATATTTTCACTCAGTGAAGGTGGGTCTCCATCCTCTGTGAGATACCTGTCCCAGGAGCTAACGGATCTCAGTGGGGAGCGTACTGAACTTGCCTCTGCATTCAGATGACGAGACAGACCTTCTGCTCAGTCCATTCCTGAGCAGCAAAGACAAGCATGAAATGAGGCGGCTTTGCTGCCTGCCATTCCCCAAACTTTTTTTTAAGTGAGAATCAATATTCGCTGCCTTCTGACATGGAAGCACCTTCATAAAGGTTTTTTTAAAATTCAATTTGAGATGGTGCAGGTAAAATGAAACAAGCGGCTCACTGAGTATGCTTTTAAAGTTCGTTTGATTCAGGGGGGGGAGTCACACATGGAGTGGGTTCCCTGAGACAGCTCAGGGGCCCGGACGGTGGCGGGGGGGCATGATGGGCTGGCAGCCTCACGGGGGAGGCAGTTAAGCCCTGGAGGCTTCAGGAAAGGAGGCTGTCCTGGCCAAGTCCCTGGAGTTTCCTCTGGAGTCACCCCACTTCCAGCAGCCCTGTGCTTGGTGCTGTAAGAACGAAGGGGAGGGGAGGGGTGGGGGGGGGCAGAAGGGAGGTAGGAGAAGAGGAGGAGGAGCTATTCCCAGGGAGGAAGGCCTCCTGCAGCAAAGACAGGGAGTAATGGATTTAGTGGCAGATGGTGAAGGGAGGACAGCTGGGTCCTGTGACTTGGAAGGGAGGCAGCTGGAGTAATTGGGGAAGTTTGTTGGACACCTTCCCAGGTTCGTCCGGCCAAAGGGACCCTGCCTTTGCTGTAGATGCCATAGTGAGTCATCAGGGGGCACAGTCCCCGAAGTAGTCGTGTGTGACCCTAACGGGAATCATGCTGCAAAAACTTTCTAACCACAACTGGTGGGTTTCTGTGGGCTGCTCAGGCTAGCCCCATGCACTGCCTTACATGGACACGCTCTTGATGTGTGTGTGTGTGTGTGTGTAAAAACCAGGGCCTCTAGCTCTCTGGCTGGGAGTGTTTCTGTGTGTGTGTGTGTGTGTGTAGGCAACCAGAAGGAGCATCTAACTCAAATTTGGAAGGTGAGGCTGTGGGGAGTAAGACCTTAAACTTCAGCATAAAATTTTAGGGCAGTCAAGACAAATAATACCTTAATGCAGTATTTTTTAGAAAATCAAAACTAATGCATATAAATCAAACCTACACGGAAGAATAATATCAGAACTTAAAAAAGACCAGATCTGACCCAGCACTCGTGTGACTTACTTCTCTGGCCTCACCCTCATCCTGGCCTTCAGAGCCTCTTGTTACTTAAAATGTTGATATTTTTTATCATGGATATTTTGCATTAATCTTCATTTAAAAAAATACCACATTAAATTATTTAACTTAATTTAACTTAATTATTGAGCAGCTCCTCAATTATTCGGCAGCTCCTGCCTACAATTTATGCCCAAGGCACGTGCCTCTCTCATCTCAGCCCAGTCCCAGCCCTGGCATCAGGGAAGGCTTCTTGGAGGAGGTGACATCCACACTGAGGCCTGAAGGCTGTGCAAGAGCCAGCAGGTGAAAGGAACAAGTGGGATTCACTGCAGCATTATTTACAACAGCCAAGACATGGAAACATCTAACTACCCATCATGAATGGGTAAAGAAAATGTATATGCGTGCTCGCGCGTGTGCGCACACACACACACATGCGCACACACATACACATGACTATTATTCAGCCATAAAAAAGAAAAAGAAGGAAATCCTGATATTTGCAACATGGAGGAACATTGAGGGCATTATGCCAAGTGAAATAAGTCAAGACAGAGAAAGACAAATACTGGATGATCTCACTTATATGTGGAATCTAAAAAAACAAACTCATAAAAACAGAGTGGGGTGGGGTGGGGGAGACTGATGAAGGGGGTCAAAAGGTACAAAGTTTTAGTTATAAGAGGAATAGGTTCTGGGGGTGTCATGTGCGGCATGGTCACTCTCACACACACACACACATTGTATCTTTGAAAGTTGCTAAGAGAGATCTTAAAAGTTCTCAGCACACACACACACACAAACTGTGAGGTGGTGTGATAAACGTATTAACTAACCAGACTGTGGTAATCATTTTGCAATACATCCATGTACGAAATCATCACTCTGTACACCTTAACCTTATGCAATGTTAGATGTCAATTATATCTCAGTAAAGCTGGTTAAAAAAAAGAAAAAGGAAGGAGTGGGAAGGAAGGGAGGGGGAGGGCCTTCAGGTAGGGAAGAGCCCATGCAAAGTCTCAGAGGTGACACCATTTGTCTGACTGCAAGGAGAGCAGAGATCACAACTAACTCATCCTTAGTATAAGTGAGTTCACTGTAAAACATTGGTGCAGACATCGTGCTGGCAGCCACTCTGAGCATCTGAATATTTCATCCTCTAGTAACCCCAGGAGCGAGGTACTATTCTTCCCACTTTCAAGGCAAGGAAACCGAGGCACAGAGAGATCATGTAGCTGTCCCAGGTCACCTGAGTGACCTGAGATCCAGACGTGGGCTGTACGGTCCCAGGGTCTTACTGCTGCACTGCATTGCCTTTCTCCGAGTACAAGCGCAGGGGTTTTCTGCAAGGTGGTGGGAGATGAGGATGGAAAAGGTGTGCGGGGCCAACCCACAAAAGGCACCGTGCCATCTGCTAAAGAGACTGGACTACGGATGGGAGGCAATGGGGAGTCAGCAAAGGGCTTCATTTGATTTGGCATTTCATATTATGTATTTTAAAGGATCACCCTAACTGTTGTCTGGAGAATGGTCTGGGGGGCAGCAATTCTGGAGGCGGGACGATCATTCATTCATTCATTCAACAAACACACAGCTGTCTCCTTAGCGAATGCTACCATGCTGGGCTCTAGGGGTGCGGCAGAGAACAAGGCAGACACAAGTCCTGCCTCCATGATGCTTCCATTCCGGTGGGAGGCTCACAGTCATCTGGGAGATGTTTTGATGACATCCTGGCCTGGGCCAAGGCAGAGAGGATGGGAGAGGCAGACAGATTTGGGAGGTGTAGAGCAGGAAGCCACAGGGCACCCTGAGCGGGAGCACGTCTGGGATAAAGGAGAGGCCAGGATCTACTGAGGGTTTGGCCTGGGCACCTGGGTGCGTTCTCACTGAGACAAGGACGCAGGAAGAGTAGCAGGTCTGCGGGGTCACCAGGAAGATATGCTGAGTTTTGGGGTGCCTGTGGTACCTCCAAGTGGACACATCTACTGGAGAGTGGCTACATGGATCTTAATTTCAGGAGAAAAGTCTCGTGTAGGAATACAGAATTTGGGATTCAGCTCACAGATGGTAAAAGAAGCCACGACCAAAGAGAGAGAGAGACGTCAGTCCTGGGCAGAACAGTTAGGAACCCCGGACGGACTGGCAGAATGCTGGACTCAAATCCCAGGCAGCACGGGGTCACAGAGGCTTGGAGAAGAAGGACTTTCGAGGAGGAAATCTCCAGCCTCAAATGCTGTGGGGAAGTTTAGGTGGGACGGATGAGCAGGTTAGTGGAAGGAGGTCACTGCTCATACTGACTGGCAGGAGTAACTGAGTGTAGTGACAGGGTCACATGCCGTGGGAGAAGAGGAAGATGATACAGCAAGAGCAGATATGACTTTTAAAGGAGCCATTTCTTGGAAGTGAAAGAAAAGAGAGAACTTAGGTGGTCATGCATGAGGAACATGGCCTTGAAGGGGGCAGCTGAACAGATTTTTAAGATTGGAGAAACTTAACCGTATTTAAAGTAAGGAAACAGACAGAAAGACACAGAGTATATGTTAGCTGAAGATCTAGAGGACCGAGGGGGATGACAGCCCGAGGTCCTCGAGCAGGCAGGGCAGGGGACCCACAGCACACTGCGAGGCTAGCCTGAGAGACCAGGAAGATCCTTCCTGCATGGCAGGAGGGAGGAGGGATGAGGGGCTCACTGAGCTTTCAGGTGCGATGCAGGAGGATGAAGGAGGTACTGCGATGGCATGGGCTCTACTTTCTAAATGGAGGAAGGGTCCACTGGTCTCATGGTCTTTGCTGAAGGATGGGGTCTGGTCGTGGGGAAAGGGGGGGGACATTTTTAAAAAGATTTATTTATTTATTTGACAGAGAGAGCGAGCACAAGCAGGGGGGGTGGCAGCAGGCAGAGGGAGAGGGAGAAGCAGGCTCCCTGCTGAGCAAGGAGCCCGATGCGGGGCTCGATCCCAGGACCCTGGGATCACGACCTGAGCTGAAGGCAGCTGCTTAACGACTGAGCCACCCAGGTGCCCCGAAAGGGGTATGATATTGACAAGACTGTCTGAGGCACTCCCCCTGGAGAAGAAGAAATCACGGCCAGATGGATTGCCACCTGAGGCCCACAGAAGGTAGAGGTGACACACGTACAGGGCACCCCCCCCCCCCCCGGCAGGGCCGTGGGACTTGTTCCTGAAGCCCTTAGTAGCTGGGTGCATGCGGAAGTGGAGAGAGAGGCTCCAGGACTGACTGAGGGGTGGGGCTGAGTTTGGAGAAACGGAAGGCCATGGGGGCAGGGAGCCAAGGATATTGTTAAAAGAAGGGCAGAGGTGCTACCCTCGGGGCCTAGCTAAAGGGGGAAAGAGCGGGAGGGGACAGGGGACGGCCAGGCCAGGGAGGATGCTGCACAGGAGCAGAGCGGGGAGGAAGAGCTGAGCGGACAAAGGGCCGGAGCAGGCTGGGCGAGGCTCGGATGTCAGAGGTGCTGGAGGACGAGGTCCGGCTACAGCCAGGGTGCAGCACGCTAAGA